GGAGGTGTTATTTTGCACAAGTGAAGGTTTATTAACTCTCTATCACAATGTCTCATTATTATTCTTTTGGAGTGCTGTGTTATAGAGAGCATTGAGAAGAACTAAATCACCATGACTCATATTTGGAGAACAAGTTGCTTACGCATTGCAGTTTAATCAATTTAGGTGTGATAGATTGACACCCAGCACTTATTTCAACCTCATCCTGCCATCACACTGCAGAGTCCAGAAAACCAAAAGAGACACACGCCCATGCCCTTGTAGATAGGGTTCTGGAAGTTTTGTACCATACCTCCTGTCCTTTAGAAAGGAGCGAAGTGGCTAATTGGGCTCTTGCTGCTGACTAGCGTAGTGTAGTTGAGGAAGTGCTGGATTTTTCTGCTTCCTTCGCTGGCTGCGTGATTGCCAAGAGGCAGAGGTGGTTTGAGCAAGTGGTTCCCGGATAATTGGATCCCACTTAGAGTAACATTTTTCCATTCATTAATGACAATAGCAGCTTCATGATTTCCGGGTTTATAGTTGTGCTATCTGTTAAAGCTCTCCTAACTGACCCATCCAGAAGTGATTTTCACTTCTATTTGAAGGCCAGGCCTGTACCCATACTCTACCTAGTCTAAAATGAGTTAATATTTTATATACTGTATTACATCCTTTTCTGCCTAAAGTGTTTTTATTTGGTTATGTTTACTGCAAGGTGACCTAGACATAAGTAATCTTGTTTCCATAGAAATACTCGCCTGGATAATGAAAAAGAATGCTAAAGACTTCACCTTACAGTAATTGTAGAATACTTGACTGTAGACTGACTCTATCTCCAAGAAGGATGAAAAGAGCTGTTGCCTGGCCAGTGTGGCTCAGTGTTGAGCGTCCACCTAAGAACCAGGAGGTCACGGTTCAATTCTCAGTCAGGGCCCATGCTCAGGTTTCTGGCTCAGTCCCCAATAGGGGGCATGCAGGAGGCAGCCAACCAATGATTCTTTCTCATCATTGATATTTCTCTCTCTCTCTCTCTCTCTCCCCTCTCCCTTCCTTTTTGAAATCAATAAAAAGTATATATGGTATATATTTTTTAAATGAGCTGGATAAAATATAAACATAGATCTGCATGAAAGTAGCCCCAAATGAATATTGATTATATAAAAACAACAACAATAATAAGGTCTTTTGGAGTTTAAAATATCCAGAGAAATAAAATGTGTGAAAATCGCACATGTATCAGAAAGATATAATTGGAATTATAGTGCTCTAAGTTTCTCACATTTCCTGGAAGTGGGAAATGGATGCATGCAGGTTGTAGTCACTAGCATAACCACCCAATGGCCAATAAATGACTGTACAGCTAACAATGTTATGGAGGTAATATGAAATAGAAACAGTTAGTCGAGGTAAAGGGAATAAAGAAAGGAAGAGAGATAAAGCAACTTGAAAAACTATCAAACAGATAAGATGGTAGATTTAAAATTCAAAGTAAATGAATTATAATAAATGGAAACAGACAAAACTGATCAAAATTGCCAGTCTGGAAATAGAACAAAACTCACACAATGTTACATCCACATTTCTCCTGACTTAAAAGGACTAAAAAGAAAGAGAATGGAAAAGGATTTACCATGTGAACGCTAGCCGAAAGGAAGCTGATGGAGCTGTACTAATATGAGATGAAGGAGGTGCTAAGACATTACTACAAAAAAGAGGAATCCCATTAATAAAAGCCTATGTGGTCGTGACGCCCTCATGCTGTGAGGAGCGATCACCAGGAGGCTGTGTGCTCAGCGGGCACCCGTGGGTGGGCGGCGCTGCGTGTGTGCATGGGTGGGCGGGGGCTTGATGCTGCGTGCGCGGTGTGGAGGCGGTTCCCATGGCTCCAGCTTACCTCTTTGGGGCAATCCATCAAGGAGCCCCGATGGGTGGGCAGGGCCTACCTCTTTGGGGCGATAGATTGCAGGCATCCCTCACAGTGAGAGGGCACAAGCCAGGCTGTGGGACCACACCCTCTCATGGATTTCATGCACTGGGCCTCAGTCTCTCTCTCTCTCTCTCTCTCTCTCTCTCTCTCTCTCTCTCTCTCTCTCTCTCTCTCTCTATATATATATATATATATATATATATATATAAAATGTCCCTTCGGGAGTGTGACTAAGAGTTTGATCACTAGCTATGATGTGCACTGTCCACCAGGGGGAGGCATGGATCAAAGGCAGGCCCTGGCAGGCCTTCGCTAGGGACTCCACCCGCGTACAAATTTCCTGCACCAGGCCTCTAGTATTTCATAATTATAAAATAGCCAGTCAACCAAGAATATATGATCATTCTGAATGTGTTTAGCATAGCCTCAAATATGTAAAGAAAAAATTGCTAAAATAATAAGAAAAACGAATCACATTGGGAGATTTCAACACCCAGCCCTCAAAACAAGCTAACAGAAAACCAGTAGGGCTGTAACCAGTTTGTCTCGGTAAATAAAGCATTGGCCAGGGACTGGAGGGTCCTGGGTTCGATTTCTGTCAAAGGCATGCACCTCGGTTGCAGGCTTCATCCCCAGCCCTAGTCGTGGTATGTGTGGTGGTGGTGGTGGGGAGGCGGGGGGAGGGTTTAACCAGTTGATGTGACTCTCTCATATCAATGTTTCTCACTGTCTCCCCCTTCCTTCTACTCTCTTTAGAGTCAATGGGGGTGGGGGTGGGGAAATTTTTGGGATTAACAACAAAAAATCAGTAGGAAAGAAACTTAAAATGCAAATTAAAAATGAATCATATATATGTGAAGTCTTTATATATATATATATATATATATACTTGAACAATTCCAGACTGCACATCATTTTAAGTGCAAATGAGCTACTAGTATTTAGCAAAATTAACCATGTGTTGGACAGGAGAGAAATTATTTTTTTTTTTAAAGCTAGAAATATCAAAACAATATTTTGGTTTTGCAACAGTGCGGATGGGCAGGCTGGAGCCTGAAGTGCTATCTGCCTACTTTAAGCTCAGCGTTGATGCAGAGACCCAGGGGAATCCTGCCTGAAGGGAGGGCAGGCTGAAGGTGCACTTTCCTTTTGGAATGAGTTCTTGTGTCCAATAGCACAGAACTGATAGGAGATGAGAAACACTCAATAACTGACTACCCAGGATTGAAGAGATCCTTTCAGTGAATACCCACAGAGCAGGCTAGGGTTCGAATGTCAACTGTTAACACTACAGCTGGTTTCTTATTCCTTCCTTCCATCCATATGCTATTAATCATTTCATAGTCTCCGAAAACCCCCTTTTCTCAGTCAGGCCACGTGCTGAGGCAGACCCTAACTCCTCCCACATCCCTGCTACTTGGGGTGGGAGCCCTGGCAGGTCCAGCCTCACTGCCATTGTCACAGGGACCAGGATGCAGCTGGGTGGAGGGACAGCACACACAGAGCATGGGTGTGACTTCGGATGCTAGGGTTTCACATCTTGCTCCGTTTCAGTTTCTAATTCCATCAGTGGGTCTCTTTTTCCATCTGAAAATGGAGGGAATTGGACCAAGTACCTAAGAAGTTCAATGGTTCTATCTATGATTTCATGGCTGATTTCAAGGATAAAATCAGATTTATAGCTTCTGTTTCACCAGCACTGGTTAGGCAATACAAGCCACACCTCCCCAGCTTGGGCAACCAGGACGCAACCTGAAGTAATTCTAAGTTGCATCTTACCTCCCTTACTCACAGCTCTCTGACCAGAACATTCCTTGGTAAGGAATCATCTGTCTTCTCCGTCCACTTTCAGAGTATTTACAAGATGGGTTTCTTCAATGGTGACATTTCAAAGTCAACATTTTCTGTGCTCTCTATTCATTATACGCCTATCACTCTCCATCTTCACAGGCTCTCCTTTATTATCTCATTGTATCATCATAGGAGACATGCCAGAGGGGCAGGGCTGACATTCTAAATCCTCCTCTGACACATGCATGCACCGAGATTTAGATTAAGTGAGCGGCCTCGGCGTCATGCCTCGGGCTCTATAGAATGCAATGTCCACGAAGGCAGGGATTTTTATTTTTATTTTATTATTTATTTATTCCTTTTTTTTTTTTGCGGGTGGTTGGGGGGGAGGAAGGGGGACTGCTTTATTTACAGATGTCTCCACAATGCCTAGAGCAAGGCCTGAAACAATAGGTGATGATGAGCCTTTGTCGAATGAATAAGTGAATGCATGTGTCTAATTAGTGAGGGAACTGGGATGTGTCTAATCCTCCGAGCTCTCAGCCGCCGGTCCTTCTCCCGTGTTGGCAACAGGTATTCCCTTTCCCCCTGACCCCCCAGTTCTCCTCTGCAGGTCTGGGTGCGGCCGATGTGAGGACTGTGGAGGCCGAGGCCGGCGAGGCTTCTCCGCGGAGGGGCGCCAGAAGCCCTGCCCGCAGCTGTAGAGGAAGGATCGTGTTTGGGGGCTCCCCCGCCCCCCAGAGACTCATGCTGACTTCCCCAGGGTGCTGGGCGGAGAAGGGCCGCTGGGCGCCTTTATCCCCAGGGTCCCCAGGGCGCTGTCTCCCCGGCCGGAGGAGGAGGAGGAGGAGGGGAAAGGGGCTCGCAGGGCCCGCCCCGGGGCGCAGTGGCCGCTCCCCTCCGGGGACCGGCGGCGGGCTGCGGCAGGAGGCCGGACACTGCGGCGGGACCAGCGGCGGGGGCGGGGCCGGAGGGGCTGGGGGCGGGGCCTGAGGGGCTGGGGCGGGGTCGGAGGGGCTGGGACCAGCGGAAGGCGGGGCCGGGACCAGCGGAAGGCGGGGCCGGAGGGGCTGGGACCAGCGGCGGAGGGGCGGGGCCTGAGGGACGGGGGCGGGGCCGGGGCCGGAGGGGCTGGGACCAGCATGGGGCGGGGCCGGAGGGGCGGGGCCTGAGGGGCTGGGACCAGCGGCGGAGGGGTGGGGCCTGAGTGGCAGGGGCGGGGCCTGAAGGGCTGGGGGCGGGGCCGGAGGGGCGGGGCAGTGCCGGAGGGGCGGGGCGGCGAGCACTCGGGCCGGACGCTCGGGCGGCGCGGGTTCTCCTCGGCGCCGCGGCGGCAGCATCCTCCTCCTCCTCCTCCTCCTCCTCCTCTCGCTCTATTTTCTCTCCTCCGCTCCTTTCTCCATCGTTCCCTTCTCCTCCTCCCTCCCCTGCCCCGGCTCCCGCCCCACTGCCCCCGGGGCGTTAGGTCCGAGGACCCGGCGCCGGGGCGGCGACCGCGGGGCACCCGGACCCGCGCCAGGTAAGAGCCGCGCGCCCGGTCCGTCCCGGCGCCTCTCCGGGCCGCCGTCCGGGGCTGCTGCCCGAGACCGGGGGATGGGGACCCGGGGAGGGGAGGGACCGGGCGGGGAGGGACCGGGCGGGGAGGGGGCCGGGCGGGGAGGGGAGGGGTGTCCGGTCCCCGGCGCCGGGCGGCGGGCACAGGTGGCTGAGCCGCCTCCCACCTGCAGGAGCTCCGGCCGTCCAGGTGCCCCGCGGGGCCGGGACGCTGTGGGTGCGGGAGAGGGTAGGTGGGTGGGAGAGGGTAGGTGGGCACCGCTGGACCCGCCGGGGTGCACCGCGGGGTGGGACACCTGTCCGGAGCTCAGTGACCTGCGGGGAAGGCGAGGCGGACTGAGAAGATAATGGGGCTGGAGGCAGGAGGCGGCTCTGGGCATCGGCTGCAGGGGCTGCACGCGGAGGGATGCGGGAGAGGCAGCCTGTCCATTGGACACCATTTCCCTGCGATTCTCCCAGAAACAGCTGGGAGGAAGGATCCATACGTATTTATAATTTTCAGGAAAATGAAAAAAAAATCAATGTCTGGTCGGATGAGAGGGCGGGACACACACACAAAAAAAATGAGTCTGGGGCTGGAGCATCCACAGCCTTCCCCTGTAAGCCATGGGGTGGGAGGGGCGTTGCTGTACATCTCTTTCATGTATAGAGAGAGAGCCCGTTTTGGAGGCTGCAGTGCGGCGTGCCCTCCTTCCCCGGCCTTGGCTTTTGTGGAAGGAAGACCATGGGAAGAGCGGGTGTGTAAGAGGGGTGGGGCCGGGGCGGGGGGCGGGGAGGGTAGCAGAGCAGATAGGGTCCAAAAAAATGCCTTGGGAACTGGAAATGGATGTCACACTACCCGGGGCTTTGTCAGAAAATAAAAAGCTCTCGTTGGCAACAAGCCTGTTAGTAACAGTCGCTGTGTGCTCTCTGCTATGCATCCCCAGGCCCTTTAACACAGACTCAGTGTGGAAGGTTTGTGTGTCAATGCATAGACATACATACACTCACTCATGCACACATGTGCACTTATGCACACAACACGCATGTACACACATGTGCTATTCCATATCTATATATCTATGTATCTATCTATCTATCTCTATCTCTATCTCTATCTCTATCTCTATCTATCTATATCTATCTATCTATCTATAGATATATGATATTACAAAAGGGAGTGGATCATAAAGCACCAATCTTTTTAAATTCATCTCTCAGGGTTTGGGAATCACGGTGTAGATGACTCTGCAGTGCAAACAAAGGGAGATTGTTATGGCGTGTAATTTTGATTCGCGGCAGGGCGATTGATGACTGTTGGGAAGGAACCAGCTTCCATGGGAAAGGTATTAAGTGTTTGAAAACGGCCACTCGGGAGAGGCAGGGACAGCGTGGAGTTGAGGCGGCGGAGCACAACGCCCTTTAGGTGAGCCCGGGCTGCAGGTACCGGCGGCCTGAAGCAGAGCTGTCACCCTGTCATTTCACTGGGTGCAATTATGCTTTTTTTTTTTTTTTTTGCCATGAAAGAAGATTAAATAAATAAAAGCTACTCGGAATGCCCAGGAGGAATACTACCCTCTTTGACCAGACCGGGACACAGAACAGCCTTTCACTGGGCAGCAGACGTCTGTGCATTCTGGTAGAATCTTTATGGATTTGTAAATCCTGGGGCTCGCAGTCACCCCTCCCCCTGCGTGCAGGACAGTATCCTTCCACCCAGAAAAGACAACAAAGGCCTTTTTTCTTCCTTTCAATAAAGAATATTATATTTGTGTGTGTATGTTCATGTTGAGTTCCTGGTCACTGTATCTGGTTATCGTAGGTTTCCGTCTGTAGTCATGATTTGCATATTACCAGAGCTGTTAGGATCCGAGGTACATGGTTTACTTAATTCTAATTTACAGTATTTCACAGCTTGCTATAGTATTTCATTTCTGAAAGGACATATTTTTTTAAACCTCCAACAGAAAAATTGCTTACAGGAAATCTGGAGACCTAAACAATTTAAAAATGGAGCCTCCTTTTAAAAAAATAGTATTTTGGTTACATTCATCTTATTTTCTTTGTTTCTCTCATTTTTTATCCCCCCCCCCCCCCTTTCTGTCAAGTAACCTGCTTCTTTCTGGCTGGCTGGGCTGCTTTGAGCTCCTAGTTCTGTCTAGACTACCAAGAGCAGAGCCAGTGTTCTCAAGATTTCAGATTTAGGGTTTGTTTATTCTCTGCAGCAACTCTTTCAGGACGACTTGTTTACGGCACCTTCTCAGGGAGGAGGAGGAAGAATGTGCTGAGAGAGCATGACCCAGTGAAACTGGTACAGCCATTACCTCACCGCGCTGCTCCTCAGCTTGGTGGAGAGAGCAGGCATCCTCCCGGTGGAAACCGAACACCAGGAGCACACCCCCTCCAGGCTTCCCCACGCAGCCCCCAGGAATGCGGCTCTCCTGAGGGTGAAGGGATATTTTCTTTTCTATGTGTTCCTTTTCGGGGCTCTTGAACTTGGTCAGAAATATGCAGCCAGAAATGAAACTTGGCACAGGATCCTCTAAGCCTGAAGGAGTAACTTCATTCCTTTACCACTTTTGACTTAAATCAGCTTGCGAATTTTTTAAACATCAAGAAGGAGAAGGAAGAAAAATACTTATTGGTATATTTTTGCAGACACACATGTTTTGTTTTGAATTTTACTAGCAACTGGATAACAGACTGGACTGCTGTGCTTTTGAGAACTATAGTTGGATTTTGAAATTAAGTAGTTATTAATTTGCTTAGATGTATTCATGAAAATATGTAATTATCCATTGCTATCTATGTGAGACAGACCATATGAAACCAACTTGGGGGTTTTAGTATGCAAGTTATTCTGATTAATGAATTCTTTTTTTAATATATATATATTTTTAAATTGAGTTTAGAGAGAGCAAAAGGGAAGGTTGGAGGAGAGAGAGAGAGAGAGAGAGAGAGAGAGAGAGAGAGAGAGAGACAGACAAACATTGATGTGAGAGAGAAACATTGATCAGATGCCTCCAGTATGCAGCCCAACGATGCTCAACTAATGGGGCCATACTGGCCATTAGGGCATGATTAATGAATTCTTTTAATGCATAATTTCCTTTTGACAGATTAAGATAAAGAATCTTAAATAACAGATACCATAGATGATAACAGTGCTTCCAGGTCAATACTATACTCCGAAATGTTAAAAGTGGTCATTTAGGTAAGGCATTAAGTGAAGAAATCTGTTAACATTTTGACATAGTCTTTTGTAATTCTTTCAGATATCTTTTTATTTTTTTCTACTTTAATTCTCTTCAAGCTATGTGATCTTACAAGTAAAATTAATTTTTCTAAGAGGCTTTTTAACATATAGCAAAATAAAGATAGGAACTTATGAATTTAAGGAATTGATTGATAAAGTTGGAGGAATTTATTTCTTTTTAAAAATGTGTTTTTATTGGTTTTTAGAGAGGAAGAAGAGAGAGAGAAGAAGAGGATGAGTGAGAAGGAGGGAGGGAGAGAGAAGAAGGGAAGGAGAAGGAGGGAGGGAGAGGGAGAGAGAGAGAGAGAGAGAGAGAGAGAGAGAGAGAGAGAGAGAGAGAGAGAGAGAGAGAAAGAAATGAGAGACATACATCAATGGGCTGCCTCCTTGAGCCCCAAACCCTGGCAGGTGCCCTGACCTGGAATCGAACTGGTGACCTTTCAGTGTACGGGACGGTGCTCAATCAACTGAGCCACACTGGCGGGATTTGTTTCTTTTCTGAGAAGAAACATTCAGGGGTAGCTGTTGTGTGACAGACCTGACACATAGCGCCAGGTACTGCCCCCAGACATGGAGTCAGTTACTTAGGGCCTCAAGGACAAGCTTTGAGGCATCAATTATATAAGTTACACACACCTTCTTTATGCCACACATATATGTATTTAAATCAGAGAATGATAAACTCTGACTCTTTTAGAGTGTGTGTGTATGTTTATATACACATCACTTACCATCTCTCAACTGCTTCAGTCATTCTGGTGTCAGACATGTCATTAAATGCTGGATAGCACATGAACATTCCAATTCAGAGTTTTCTGAGAAACACCTTTTGATATTCTCAAAGAGTTATCAGTCCCAGAAATTGATTCCAGGCACCCAAGCAGTTACATAACTGCATAGACGTGGTACAAAAAGGGACAAAAGTCAAGAGAGAAGGTCTGTGGGAAGGTTTGGATGCATGGGTGGGGCTAAGGGAGATGATGAACTAATGCACATTCTCAGCTAATAATTGTCCACTTAGGACGGAGGTGAATTTTGTCTAAGTGGGTGGTGAGGGAGGACATCTGTTTTGTTTTTCTACCTCAACACGATACTACCTCCCTTGTTACTTTCATCTGATGGTCATTGGCATTTCCTTGTAAAATTTATTAAGGATATTTATTGAAAGCAATTCTGCAGTGAACTAAAAATTTTAAAATAATGTGGGCACAATTAGTTGACTTGTAATGAAAAACACTTTGAATCTATTATTTGAACTTAATCTTTCCTGTTCAAGAGAGAGAACCTTTCCTTTGAGTGGTAGTATCACAACTGATACCTCTTACATATTCATTTTAGTGAAATCCAGTGGAAATTAAGGCAACATAAAGAGCTCAGAATTTCCTCTTTCAGTCAGTCGTTAAGTTTATATTATGGACTTTGGGGGAAAGTTTAGACAATTTGTTTCCATAAAAGACACATGCTTTTCTTCCTGATTTAGAAAGGAAGGAGTTTTGTTTTTTTGAACTTGAACAATCCATACTGATGCCTCCAGATGAACTGAATCAGTGTTTAAACTTGGCTCTATGCACAAGGGGAATCCAACAAAAATAGCCAGTTTGAAATTTTTTTCTGATTTATAGAACCATGCAATGTTCTAAAAAACATTGAAGAGCATCTTGGACAGAATAAATTAAGCACTGTATGTATATATATGTATGTATACATATATGTATATATGTATGTCTTTG